ATTTATTTTGTAATTGCTTTACGGAATACGGTATATACTTGATGTGTATAAGCAAAATCCTTCCTCCCCTATTAATGGCCTTCATCATTCCTTTGCTCTTCCCAAGCTAGTTTTTTTCTGAAATACCCTGATCACCATTCTCCCCAATTAATGGACTACATCAGTCCTGTGAGGTAGGTTAGGCTAACAGGAAGAGTGACAGGCCCAATGTCATCCAGCAACCTTCATGGCAGAGCAGGGGTCTGAATTTGCATCTTCCAGATTAAGGACTACACCACACTGGTTCTCATCTTTGCAGACCACAGCTAACACTGTCCAGTTTGGGCAGCAGATGCTGAATTGTTTTTAGCTTGGGCTTCATTCTGTTGTTATGTTCATTTGATGCTGAATGGCTGTGACTGTATTTGAAATTTTCACGCTATCTGTAATTGAATTTGTAAGCTGCCCTGAAGCCAAGGTGACAGGTCAGATTTCTTAAAAGCTAAAACAAACAAATAAATGAACTTCTCCAGGCAGTGCTCACACACTTTGCAGGGAAGGCTATTTTTATGCCTTGAAGACTAGAAACATACTTTTAAAAATAGAACGAAGGATGCTGAATTATGTCGCTGGTGACTGAGATATGGACCTGACGGGCCTCCTTATTAATTGCTGGCTGCTAGGGCCCTGTCCTGAGGCCCCCCCCCCCAAGACTGTGTGCACATTGCCTTCAGGGCTCTTTTTGTAGAAAAAGCCCAGCAGGAACTCATTAGCATAATAAGCCACACCCAACAGCAGAAACGTATTAGCATCTTAGGCCACACCCCTGACAGCACAGCTCATTAGCACATTAGGCCGCACCCCCATGTTACCAGAAGTGTGGTCATCCAGCCACACCCACCTTTTGCTTGTTATTCTGTTTACCTTGTTTGTTGTCAAAACCCAGGGCTTTTTTGTAGCAGGAACTCCTTTGCATGTTAGGCCACACACCCCTAATGTAGCCAATCCTAATGAGTTTCTGCTGTTGGGTGTGGCCTATTATGCTAATGAGTTCCTGCTGGGTGTGGCCAATTTGGGAGCGAGCGGGAACTCCGTCCCTGTGCGTTCCTGCCCCAAAATAGCCCTGACTGCCTTCAAACTAGCTTTCTTCTGCTTGCTAGCCCGCCTTAACCCAAGGCAAACCCAAATGCCTTCCCAAAGTTCAAAGGAGCGTTAAGTGGCATGTGCGAAGATCCAGATGTCCCCTTTCCCTTTTCCACCAAGGCGACCGCGCCTTTCAGCCGAGTAGCGACTAGGTACCCAGGCAATGCTGATTCTGTGAATTTCGACAGATCACAAGAGGGAGGGCAGGAAGGGTTGCCTCAGTGCTTAGTTCTCGTGGGCCTTTCTTACACGCCCAAGGGAAATGCTGATCGCCACTTTGAAGACAGGAAGCAATTCTCTCCAGGCTAGGTTGGCCAGGGATCCTGGAGGTTGTTTTGCCATCTTCTGGGCATGGAGCAGGGGGTCACTGGGTGTGTGTGTGGGGGGGGGGTATTTATGAATTTCCTGCATTGTGCAGGGGGTTGGACTAGATGACCCTGGAGCAGGCTTGCCAGGTGTGGGTTGGAAAATACCTGGAGACTTTGGGCATGAATCTGGGAGAGGGCGGGGTTTGGGGACGGGAGGTTCCCCAGCATGGTACAGTGCCACAGAGCCCACCCTTCAAAGCAGCCATCTTCTCCAGGGGGCTGATCTCTGCCAGCTGGAGATCAATTGTAAAAGCGGGAGATCCCCAGGCCCCACCTGGAGGCTGGCAACCCTACCCTGGAGGTCCCTTCTACCTCTATGATTATACCTTCGCCATGGTCGCAAGTCCACACATGGGGACCAAGCCGCGCTTTTGAATTTAACGCCTGCCGGAGTGCTGTTAAAGGCCCAGGAGCCCCCGGCGGCTCGGAAGGAGTCTGGCCGTGGCAGTCCGGCTGCTCGCAACCGGCAGCGCTAGGACCCAGGGCGGCAGCGGCAGCAGCAGCGGCGGCCGGGG